CCAAGCTTTGACAGCAAGTATGCAGTGAGTCAAGACTCTGAGCTGGGCTATGTCTGCCAACGACTTTGGAACAATTTCCTCAACCTTGCAGCAACGGGATCAACAGCATCTCAGAACTATTGAAATCACTTAAAGCATTACCCTTGGAACAGGCTCCACAGTGGGGACTCTAGGATGACATCAAGTGGCAGTCTCACATCCTCAGTCAGGTATTGGTGTAGCTAGACTTCCAGGAGCGGCCCTCTCCTCCTGCTCTCTCCCCTCAGAAACAGGAAGAATAGAAAGGAAGATTGGAAGTAGTTGTCTCACTTTCCCCCATTCCTGGACCGTTTCCATCCTAATCCATGGTTCACATGGGCATGCATCCTTCTCAACCATGTAAACATCATTAAAAAATAAAATAAATTTAATACGGGGGTTGGGGGGAGGAGGCTGGCGAGGTTGTCCACCACTGGCCTAACATGGCAACTTCCCACGTGGATGGCATTTTTCAGCTTTCAAAGCTTCTTCACGTTCGTCACACACGAACTCCTTTAATCCTCAATGCACCCTTGTGAAGAGGAATCAGAGTCAACCAACGTGGACACAGGAATTGCTAGGTGTCAGGTGCTGCGGGAATACTTTCTGAGAACCTTCTCTGCGCTGAGTTCTGTGCTGGCTGTACAGACGTTGTATGTGACTAAGAGGGGACACACATCTAGGTTTCCCTGAGCTTACATTCTAGTGGAACAAGATGTTAACTGTATCATGTTATTAATGAATATATAATTATTACTGGCATACATGCTCAGAAAAAAAAAAGGTGAGGATGTTTATAAATGAGAGTATGGAAAGAAGACCTGATCCAGTGTTAGGTTCCTAGAGAAGGAGATGATAACCTTTGAGTGAGATCTCCAGGGAAACCAGTTGGTTATCTGAGGGGGAGGGCAGAATTAGAGCAGTTTATAGAAGAGCCTGCAGCATCCAAGGAATTGGGAGAAGGTCCTTGTGCCTGGAAGGAAGAAAGATTTCGAGAGACATAAGGTTATAAAACTAAGGTAAGAGAATTCACTAAGAGTTGTTGTCATAGGCAAGACCTTGTAGCTTGCTTTAGCTTAATACATTTTGGCTTGGTACGGGCAACAGAGTAGCATATATAGCAGGAAAAGCCACTACCTACGATGCTAAAATCTCATACAGATATTGATTCCTGTCTCACTGCTCCACTTCCAGTCCAGCTCCCTAATAATCCAGATATGAGAACTAATGAAGATAGTCCACGTGTTTGGGCCCCTGCCACCCATGTGGGAGACATGAATAAAGTCCCCAGCTCTTGGCTCTGGCCTGGCCCTGCACTGACCATGACAGCCACCTTGGGAGTGAACTGGCAAGTGGATGATTCTCTCTTTCTCTCTCTCTCTCTCTCTCTTTCCCTAATTCTTACTTTCAAAATAAATAATTTTTTTTTAAAAAGAAAAGTTGGGCTCTTTTTAGGGGAACTGTTTTGATTACATTGTGTGTGTGTGTGTGTGTGTGTGTGTGTGTGTGTGTGTGTGTGTGTGTGTGTAGAAACCAGATTGGTGGGAGACCAGGGAAGACATTCAGAGACCAGTGAGTGAGCAAGCAGTGATGCAGATGGAAGATGATGGGACCTGACCAGCCTGACTCTTCCAACATTCCATCGATGGTCAAGATGATCTACAGAACCCTTGTCCAGTGTACAGCTCACTAGTTTGAAGGAACTATGTTCAGGATGGTGTGTCAGCCCTGAGCATAGTGAAGAGGGGGTACCTGCAGCTACCATCGTGGTACATAGAAGCAGAGCCTCACCAAGTCAGGGTCAAGAATGAGGGTGAGGCTGTCCTTACAGAACATGCAGCCCAGAATGCACAGACAGAGCTCATGGACGCAGAGCAAGGCTCTGCAAGGGGCAAGGAGCAGGGTTGCAGCTGGAGGATTAGTTCCTGCAGGGGAACTGAGGAATAAATAAATATTACCAATGAAAAATGAAGCCACTATTCTCATGGCCAGAGAAGGAACAATAAACATGGAATGGGAGAAAATTAAACAGAAGCCTGTGGTGTTGTAGTGCAATTGAATGCAGCAGTATAGACTCCTGGTCATCCACATATTGATATAAATATGGCTACAGAAATAAAAAATCTATATTTGTGCATATACAAGGGTATTATCAAAATTCGTGGGAGATGGAACAAAAAGATAAATTTATTTTGGTGCAGAAAGCATTTGAGATGCATGCATAGTTTATTTACAATTCATATTTCCTGTAAACTTTTGGATGCATCCTTGCATACACACATTCTTGTAGCAACATTTAGCCCCTCCCTCTGCTCATTGAGAAGACCCTGAGGTTACGGAAGGACACCAGTACTCCTGGAGCAATGAGGATGGCCAACAGAGAGCCTGTGGCTTCTCACCTCCACTCTCCACTGAAAGAAATCAGAGCTTTTTGGAGATACAACCTGCAGAGCAGGAAAATGATCAGAGAACAACAGGATATGTCAAGGAACCACAGAAGCCCACTTGGGTGGGGGCTGGTGCTGGACAAATCAGGGATAATTTGAACATCAGATTAATGATTATAATGGACTGTCCTCCACTAATAAAACAGGAAATCTAGAGGCCATATTGATATACATGAGCACATTAGAAGTTTGGTGAGGAATGAGATGTCTACACAGTTTCAGAATATTTCAGAATAAAATTAAAATTGTAGAAAGACCTTATGAAAAAGAAGCATGGCAGATATCACTTTAGTAAAGTAATTAAGAAGCCCGGTTGTGGCACAGCATGTTAAGTTATCACTTGCGATGCCAACATCCCCATATGGACATTGATTCATGTGCTGGCTGCTCAACTTCCAGTCCAGCTCCCTGCTGATATGCCTCAGAAAGCAGTAGAAAATGGCCCAAGAGCTTGAGTCCCTGAGCCCACGTGGGAAACCTGGATGGAGTTCCAGGCTCCCAACTTTGTCTTGGTTCAGCTCTAGCTGTTGCAGCCACATGTGGCGTGAATCAGTAGATAGAGGATCTCCTGTCATTAATTCTGCATTTTCAAATGAATCAATAAACCTCAAGGTCATTAAAATGAACATCATCGGTAGTGGGAAAAAGTGAAAACATGTGCCAACATGAAGAATGAGATGAGAATACACAGCTTTGCCTCCTCTCTAAATTGCCAAACTTGAGTCTAGTCATAAGGAGACATCAGACAAATCCAGATTCGGTGATATCGTCTAGAATGATTGACTTTGATAGTGTCAGTCATAATCATCAAGGACAGACAGAGCTACTCCACCATGAAGGCTAAAGATACATAACAACAAAACAAAATGTGTGATTCTGAGCTATCTCTTTTGGTTACAAAGATACTATTGGTATGGTGGGTATTATGGCACAGTGAGTTAAGCCGCAGCCTGAGATGCCTGTATCCCACACTGGAATGCTAGGTAGAGTCATGGCTACTTGACTTCGGATCCAACTTCCTGCTAATAATCCTAGGAAGCAACAGATGGTGGTTCAAATACTTGAGTCCCTGTCATTAACATGGAGACTGGATGGAGTTCAAACTCCTGGTTCTACCCTGACCCAGCCTTGTCTATTCTGACCAGTTTGGAAATAAATGAGCAAAGGAAAGATGTGTGTGTGCGCGCGCGCGCGTGTGTGTGTGTGTGTGTGTGTGAGACTCTGCCTTTCAAATAAATAAATACTTTCAAAAAAAGATGTTATTGGGAGAATTGGAGAGATTTGAATGGAGGTTACAATAGATGAGGTTGTGTCACATTTAGGAAGGAGAACATCTTTATGGGTCACATAGGCTGGAGTACTTCCTGAGAACAGGATGTGAGGTAAAGATGGCAAGAGGGGAAAAAGTGCTTGCGTGCTGAACCACCTAGAGTTTCATTTTGGAAAAAAAGAATAATAATAAACGGTGACTATTCTGATGAGGGATGAGGGCATTTGACATAGTGCTTGAGACCCCATGTGATAGATAGCAGAGTACCTGGGTTCAAGGCCTGCCTCCACTCTGAATCCCAGCTTCCTACTGCTGCAGGCCTGGGGAGGCAGCAGGTGATGGCTCAAGTAACTGGGTTCCTGACTCCCACATGGAGGGCCTGGATTGAGTTCCTGGATTGTGGCTTCCACCTGGCTCAGCCCAAGCTATTAGGTCATCTGAGGGAGTGAATAGTGGATGGAAGATTCTCTTACTCCTGTGCTTTCACTCATTCATTTTCTGTGTCTGCTTTTAAAAGAATAAAAATAACTAGATGAACTTCAGAAAGTAGTGACATGCTGGCCAGTGTTTAAATTGGAGGCCCAAGATTCTTAGTTGCTCACAGAATGCTGCCTCTCTTGCTGCAGCAGCCCCACGTGGGAGTCAGCTAAGCCTGTGCTCTCCTCTCAGAATTGCTTCTCCTTGTTTCAGGGTTGGGTCAGTTCTTGTCTCTCCAAACCATGTGACCCTGACCCTTGGGATTATGCTTCCAACACAGCTTCACATGCAAGCTCCACCCACAAGAGTCTGCCTCCCAGGAATGTGTAGTTAGATCATATATAACAAGAAGCTTCTACTGTCATTCAAGAACCACACCTGATGTATTGGGGGTGGCTGCCTCCTGCAAGGAACCTATGGTAGAAAAGTCTGGTCTGCAGAGACCAAGTAACTGAAGCAGATACCCGAAGGTCCCAGGGAGAGAAACTGAGGGTACCAACCTTGGTTTCCGACAGCATCACAATTCTAGTCCCTTGCAAAGCCTCACCTCACTTAGCACACTCCAGCATCCTAACACATCTGTTTCATTCCAGAGACCAGCCTTAGTGGATTTCTATTGGTTGTGGCCCAAACTTACCTACATCTCTTTCTCCACTCTGGCCATGCTTCACAACAAGCTTGCTCTTCTACAAAAAGTGCTCTGGGGACACTGTCAACGCTGGGCTCAGGTTATCGGGGTGACTGAATGTAGCACTTCTGACAGGCTCCAGAAGGTCAATTTTACTTACCAAGGCTGGCCTCAGCCAACAGCAGGTAAGCAGGTACAAGCTCTACCGAGCTCAGGCCATGAACGTTCATGCGGAAGCGGAGGGAATGCAAAGCTGCAGGGACGGCATCTTCGTGTCTTCCTTCAAAGAGGTATTTCTGGGCGACAGTGTAGCAAAATTCAATCAAATGCTTCTGTAGAAGACGGAAATAGAGCATTTGAGACATGAAGACTAGAGGCAAAAGAGGGTATGATACACCTGGAGAAGCGGCCAGCTCAAAAAGGAACCAATGAAGACACACTGTGAGCCTGCTTATATTAAGGTGGCCTTGAGACCACCCAGAGAGATGACATGAAAAGGCAACCTCTGCACCGGCAGTCCCTTGGGGTCCAGGAGCCCAAGGTCAGTGCCTGGCACATGAATGTTCGATGAATGTTCAGTTGTTAGATGAGTTAATCAGTATTATTCTTATGGTCTCAGTACAATTTCCAGCTATTGTGTGTCAGTATGATGCTACCTTTTTTTTATTTTTCCTTCTGGTTTTATTCTGCTTAGCTAATAAAGGGAACTTTAACTTTGCACCATTACAAGGCCACTTTCAATGTGTTCATTTGTTTGTTTATATTTATTTATTGGAAAGCCAGATATGCAGAGAGGAGGAGAGACAGAGAAGGAAGATCTTTCATCTGATGATTCACTCCCCAAGTGAATCCCACAATGGCCAGAACTGAGCCAATCTGAAGCCAGGAGCTTCTTCTGGGTCTCCCATGTGAGTACAGGGTCCTAAGGTTTTGGCCCGTCCTTAGCTGCTTTCCTATGCCACAGCAGGGAGCTGGATGGGAATCAGGGCTACCAGGACACTAACTGGTGCCCATATGGGATCCTGGCGCATGCAAGGCAAGGACTTTTAGCCACTAGGCTGCTGCACCAGGCCCTCAAAGTGTTTTAACACTAAAATTGATGAGTCTGGAGTTTGGAGATTTACAGCTAATGAAGGAATACTTTTTTAAAAAGTGGGATGTTATTATCAGAGAGTAAAATATCCCTCCCCACATACATTTCTTTAGTATAGCTTGAGTTGATTATTCAGAGAAACTGCATACTGGGAGACAAAGAAAAAAGCTGTGCTTCTGCAAAAGAAAATTCTATGTTAGACAACAAGAATGCAGATAGAGGTTTTCTTATCTGCTATCCCCTTATCTGCCTGAAATAGCCAAACCTAGTCTTCTGATGACTGTTACCTGGGAGACTAGCTCGCTAAGAAGGCCACCTATATTGGGTGCATTTTCTGCTCCTCACTCTTCCCTACCGTGTGCCACCTCCCTCCCACCACCAGGATCCTCAAGCCCCCATATACTTCTAAGGTTCAAAATGCTATTTAAACACCAGTCATCTGACCCTTTCCATGAGTCTCATACCTTGCGACTTCTGTGTTTCTGCACGTGTACATTTTCCCCTGTTAATCTTTCTATTGACATTTCATCAACTAAAATTATAAAACGTTCAGAGGGGAATCAGAAAATTTAGAACTTCCCTACCGTACCAATGGTAACAGGTATGAAATTTGCTGATACTCTTTATTTATTCAGTAGTGTATGTTTATATAATTCAAAACTCTTCTACTGGGGCTGGCATTGTGGCATAATGAGTTAAGCTACTACCTACAGCAAAGGCATTCCATGTGGGAAGCAATTGAAGCCCCCGCTGCCCCCACTTCAGCTCCAGCTCCTTGCTAATGGCCTGAGAAAGCAGCACATGACCCAAGTACTTGAGCCCTGCACCCACGTAGCAGACCCAGAAGCAACTCCTGCCCCTGGCTTCAGCCTGACCCAACCTCACACATTGTGGCCATTTGGAGAGTGAACCAGTGAATAGAAAACTTCTCTCTCTCTCTCTCTCTCTTTTTCACTTTGCCTTTCAAATACATAAAACAGGTGTTTTTTTTTTTTAAAAAAAAAAAAAAGCCCTCTTACATGACCAGGCTTTTATCAAACTACCTGGCAAATGTATGTGCTATGAGCCAAATTATATTCTCCCAACATTCCTATGTTAAACCTAGCCTGTAGTCCCTCAGCATGTGACTGTGTTTGAAGACAGAGTTTTGAAATGTGTGATTATGACAAAATGAAGCCATCACATGGGGCCCTGACCTATTCCTATGGTGTCTTTATGAGGAAAAAAGAAGAAGAAGCTGGGCACACACAGAGTCACCAAGATGGGAGTACAGCAAGGACACCACAGAGGTCGCGTCCTGCAAACCAAGAAGCAAGAAGAGAGGCCACTAAAGCAGCCGAATCTGCTGACTGCTTCCTCCTGGACTTGCAGCCCCCAGAAGTGTGGGAACATAACTGCATTGTTAGACCACCCCACCTGTGGTGCTTCACATGGCAGCCTGCGCAGACTAATGCAGTGAGCGCTGAGTCAATGTGTGAGAAACAAGTGACAGAGAAGGATGGATAAAGGCATGGAACAAAGTCTCTGCCCTCATCCAGGTCAAGCTTCAGTGATCTTGTGGCAACTGAGGCCTTTCCCTTGTCCTGGGTACTCTGACTGCACTGTGACCCTCCCCTGCAACCGGGGGGACCTACCTGTCGCTGCTGCTGCTGCTGCAGGCCGTGCTGCCGCTCTTCCTCCGAGTTGTAGAAGGGCATGGTAGTGCGCAGTGGAATCAGGAGCTGACATATCTTCTCGTGGATGCTGCTCCAGTCAGCTTTCTGATGCACTACGCCACTGACATGAAAAATACGGGCTTCATTATCTTTACCTTTAACCTCACTTAACATTTTATGTGCCCCTCTGACTGGCCTAGCCCTTAGATACTGCAAAAATACATCTAAAACAACCCAGGGAGGGAGCTCCAAGCCATTTCTGATGCAAGTTTCTTTTCTTGCACATGGTTATTTTAATAGTGTAAAACCCCATGTTGGGGCTGGCGTCGTGGTGCAGCACGTAAAGCTGCCACCTGTGATGCTCCTCCACTTCCAATCCTCTCTAACTCTTTCTAATAAACACATCTCACAAACAAAACAGCACAACCCTTTTGAGGTTGGGGTATGTTTGGAAGTGGGAGTTTGTCAATTCTGCCAAAACTTTAGAATTAAAATCACACAGAGATGTGGTGGTTGATCTGCTTAATGAATAACAAAGACAATTTTAATCATTTTATTTGCTTATGTAACTATTTTTTTAAAAAAGATTTACTTATTTTTATTGCAAAGTCAGATATACAGAGAGGAGGAGAGACAGAGAGGAAGATCTTCTGTCTGATGATTCGCTCCCGAAGTGATCGCAACAGCCAGTACTGCGCTGATCTGAAGAAGGGAGCCAGGAGCTCATCCAGGTCTCCTACACAGGTGCAGAGTGCCAAGGCTTTGGGCCATCCTTGACTGCTTTCCCAGGCCACAAGCAGGGAGTTGGATGGGAAATGGGGCCACAGCCATTAGAACTGGCATCTATATGGGATCCTGGCACATTCCAGGCAAGGACTTTAGCCGCTAGGCCACCATGCCGGACCCTTATGTAGCTATTTATTTTAAAGGCACGGTGACAGAGAGACAGGCATAGACACACAGAATCAGAAATCTTTCATTCCATAAATGCTTGCAACGGTTCAGATTGGCCAAGCTGAAGCTAAGAGCCAGATACTCCATCTGGGTCTCCCACGTTGGGGGCAGCGAGTTGGGCCATCAGTAGCTGCCTTCATGGTGTATTGGCAGGAACCTGGATGTGAAGCAGAGTAGCTGAGTCTTGAAGCAACATTCTCACTTAAGATGCTGATGTTACAAGTGACAGTTTTGCACACTGGATCGCAATGCCAGCCCTGGGCAACTTAATTCTAGAGTAATGTAAGGTCATTTTCAAGAGATGTGAACACGGAAGTTGATGGACTTGAGTCCTTGTCTTGGGAAAGGGAAGGGATTTACACAATGAAGCTCTAGGAGTTACTATAAAAGCCTGTTTGCCTATAATTGGTGCCACTATGCTGCATGGCTCCCAGGAGTACTTGACATCCTAGTGGATGTAAAGTAATTATCTCACCTATGGTTTTAATTCATATTTTCCCAACATTTTTCATGTGCTAATTGGACACTGATGTATTTTCTTTGGGAGAGTGCTTGTTCAATTTTTTTTTTTTTTGCTCATTTCTTTTTGTTTTATCTATATGTTTATCTTCATTTTGTTTGGAAAATAGAGAGAGACAGAGAGATCTTCCATCCACTGGTTCATTCCCCTAAAGACATCCACTGGCTCATTCCCCAAATGACTTTAGAACTGGGCCAGAAAAAAGTCAGGAGCCAGGAACTCCAACTGGGTCTCCCATATTGGTGGCAGGGACCCAAGTACTTGACCTATCATCTGCTGCTTCCCAGGGTGCACATTAGCAGGAGGCTGTGTCAGAAGCAGAGGAGCAAGGATTTGAACTCAAGGACTCTGCTATGGGATGTGGATATCTCAAGTGGCACCAAATGTCCATCTTTGCTCATTTTTAATACTACATCTTTTGTCTTTTTACTTTTGAGTTTTTAATTATTTCCTTATATATTATTCCTTATACTAGATCCTTCTCAGATTATGATTTGTAAATATTTTCTCCCATTCTATGGATTGTATTTTCAGTTTGATAGTATTTTCTGATGCATGCAATTTTTAATTCTGATGGTGTCTAATAATCCATTTTTCCCTCTGATTCTTTGTGGTTTTGATGCACTCTCAAAGAAACTGTTACCTACTGTTACCTAATCCAAGATGATAAAACTTTGCAACCATGTTTCCTTCTGGAAATATTTATACATTTAGCTCTCACGTGTAGATCTCTTTGTACATAAGGCACTTTTTAAACTATTGTTTATGGTAGGAAGGGTTTATTCTTTCCCCATTGGCATCCCTGTTGAAAATCAACTGACCCTAGATACATAGGCTTATTTGTGTACTCTCATTCCCATTCTATTTACTTATATTATAATCATATCAGTTCCATAGTAGATTTGTAGTAAGTTTTGAAATGGGAAAGAGTGATGTTTCTAACACTGTTCTTTTCCATAATTGTTTGTCCATTATAGCTCTTTCCATCCGTGTGAAGTTAATGGGCAGCATGTCTACATCTGCAAAAAATATACGTAAGTTGACATTTCATAGACATTGTACTGGATCTGTAGATTAACTTGGGAAATGTTGGTGTCTTAATATTATTAAGTATTTCAGTCAATAAATATAGAATAAATTTCTATTTTTTATGTTTTCTTCAATTTCTTTCACTGACCTTCGGTAGTTTTCAGTATTCTATGCCTTGGGTTAAATTGATTCCTAAGAACATTTTTTGTTTTAAAAAAAGAAAATGGAATGGCTGGGCCCAGCGTGGAGCCTAGTGGCCAAAGTCCTTACCTTGAATGCACCAGGATCCCACATGGGTGCTGGTTCATATTCAAGGCTGTTCCACTTCCCATCCAGCTCCATGAGTGTAAGCTGGGAAAGCAGTAGAAGATGGCCCAAAACTTTGGGACCATGCAACCACATGAGAGACCTGGGAAAGGCTCCTGGCTTCAGATTAGGTCAGCTCTGGCCATTGTGGCCACTTGGGGAGTGAACCACAAGATGGAAGATCTTCTTCTCTATCTTTTCTTCTCTCTGTACATCTGCCTTTCCAATAAAAATAAATAAGTCTTTTTTAAAAAAAAGAATCTGGAATATGTCGCTCCATTCTCTTCTGGCCTGTAGAGTTTCCTGTGAAAGGTCTCCTGTGAATTTAATTGGCATTTCTTTATATGTCAATTGATTTTTTCGCATGCACATTTAAGGGTCTTTTGTTTATGTTCAATTGAAGAGAGCTTGATGATCAAGTGTCATGGTGAAGGTAGCTTTAGGTCGACCCTGTTGGGGTTTCTGTGTCACTCCTGGATGTTGTTTCCCAATTCTTTTTCCAGATTTGGGAAGTTTTCCCTTATTTTTTCATTAAATACACCTGTAATCCCAGTTTCTCTTTCTGCACCTCCTGGGACTCCCATAACTCGTATATTTGGCCTTTTAATAATGTCTTTCAATTTTTGAAAACTTTTTTTTAAGCTTGATCCGGCTCTGCTTCCAGCTTTTTGTTTCCCTCTGGTGACAGGAAATATTTTTTTTTAAGATTTATTTATTTATTGGAAAGTCAGATATACAGAGAGGAGGAGAGACAGAGAGGAAGATCTTCCATCCGATGATTCACTCCCAAAGTGAGCTCAATGGCCGATGCTATGACGATCTGAAGCCAGGATCCAGGAACTTCTTCCGGGTATCCCACACAGGTGCAGGGTCCCAAAGCTTTGAGCCGTCCTCGACTGCTTTCCCAAGCCACAAGCAGGGAGCTGGACAGGAAGCGGAGCTGCTGGGATTAGAACCGGCACCCATATGGGATCCCGGGCGCATTCAAGGCGAGGACTTTAGCCGCTAGGCCACGCTGCCGGGCCCCAGGAAAATTTTCTAATTTTGAAATTCTTTTTTCTGCCTCCTTCATTCTATTTTGGAGACTCTCTACTGTACTTTTAATTTGCTCCACTGTATTTTCATTTCTGATACATCACCTTCATTTGATTAATTCCCAGTGTGACATATTCCCTAAATTCCTTGAATGCCTGCTTTATATGCTTCTCGTTGTTGATAAGAAGCTTTATAACAAGTGTTTTGATTCTGTATCCCCCATTTCCTCAATGTCTTCCTCAGTGAACTCTGAGATTGGCAAAGGCTTTTGCTCCTTTGCAGGGGAGTCTTCAGTAATATTCATTGTGTTTTTGTCTCTTCTTTTGCTCTTGGTCATTGTACTTCTAGTTAGAAGATTCTTCTCCTTGGGGCAAGTTTCTAAACCTTGTCACCCACAGATCTACAATTCAATTTTACTTATTGCTTTTGGTACACAACTCTTTGCAGTCAGTTGTGCCACTTCTTCCAGCAAGTTCTGGGTCTGAGTTCTTATGTTAGATTTCCATATGGTCTCCGTAGCCCCAGCTCCTGGCTCACCAGTCTCCACCTCCTGTGACACTGTGCTTAGGCTACACTGTTGTCTGCACAACCTTTCTCCCACTTCCAGCTTGAGCAGTTCTCAGGTTTAGGGAGACACCAGGTATCCTATATAGCTAAGTTGTTGGTAGTAGTGATCTTGCCAGAACCTGTTGGCCATTAGGTCTCAGGGCCACCCAAACCTATCTTGACCCATATGATGCCATAGTCAGTAGTATTTTCCATGTGTGACTAGTGCAATGCAGTGAGTTCACTCCCAGCTCAGTGTATGCACAGCTCACTCTTGTCCCTGCCATCTTAAATTCTTTACCACAGTGTACGAAATGGTGCCTGATGTGCCATTACTGAGTTCTTGATCTACTGGCCGTCAGGTCTGAGGGCTACCCAGACAGATCTTGGATGGAACCTGTAGGATGCGATGTTGTTGCAGTTCACTGAGCCAGAGATGAGTTTACTCCCAGCTCAGTGCATGCTCAGTCCTGTCCCATAGCCTTGCCTCCCTGCACAAAATGGTGCCTGATTTGGCTCTAGGGGGCAGACTGGGTTGTGAAATCCACCCTGTTCCTGCACTACCTGTCTGGGTCTGCTGCTCTGTCTCAGCTCCTGGTCAAATCAAACAGACCAGCAGGATGAGCAGTTCTTTGTCTGGGTTCACCTCCTGAGTTCCTGATGAAAATCCCTTCCCACCTGATTGCTGGTGGAGTTCTGGCTGCTGGTGCAATTCAGATTGCCACTGGCTG